TATACAGTATGTCCCAAAAGTCCCGTATCACCCTTAATATCTCCATGTAAAATCACTATATTTAAACGTGGTTTTTTTACAGTACTAAGTATGAAAATTCTGATTGAATGGCATAAAATTCATTAATTTTTTTCTTTAAATTCAAAAATTTTCAAAAAAAATTTTTACGCATTTAAGAATTTAAAATTTTTAAGATAGCCATTTTGTTGAGCATATTTTTTAAAACAGTTCAAAAAAAAAAATACTAAAATTAAATAAAAATTGACCAAGTTAGAGCAAGTTATGTTTTTGAATAATTGTAGTAAAAAAATAAATTATTGTTTCACATTTCAATAATGAAATATCTAATTTCAGCACACGACCATACTTTTACATTCCTAATTTATTTTTTTACTACAATTATTCAAAAACATAACTTGCTCTAACTTGGTCAATTTTTATTTAATTTTAGTATTTTTTTTTTGAACTGTTTTAAAAAATATGCTCAACAAAATGGCTATCTTAAAAATTTTAAATTCTTAAATGCGTAAAAAATTTTTTTGAAAATTTTTGAATTTAAAGAAAAAAAAAATAAATTTTATGCCATTCAATCAGAATTTTCATACTTAGTACTGTAAAAAAAACCGCGTTTAAATATAGTGATTTTACATGGAGATATTAAGGGTGATACGGGACTTTTGGGACATACTGTATAAAAAGAACGAACTAAAAATCTAAATATTGAGGAAATGATTGACAATTTTGCTTTATAAATTATATTTCTTATAATAGAATATCTTAGATATTTATGTAATTATGATGTTAAATAAATTATTATTTATTTAAGATTACTCTTAAATATCATAATACCTAATACCTATATGTTAAAATATGGTTATAAATTTATAATGCAATTCGATTTGTAGTAAAAATATAATGGTTTAATACTGTGAATTGTTTTTCAAGGGAGCCCCTAAATTTTCTTTTGCACCAGAGCCCTCAGAGTTCAAGATTCGGCCCTGAGTTTAGTCAACGACAGGGTTTGTTATTGACGTTGATGTATAACGTGTTATAAGTACCTAATGGATATTGTGATAATGTGATATGAATAATTTAGAATTTATTATAGGTCAATTTTTTTTTTAATACCATAGATATGTATATAATAATTCTTAAATCTAGACTGACATACCGTCTTCGCTCAGAATCGTTTTTCTTATACAATGATATTGTATCATTGAATTCAAATTTAATAGCATCCATTATACAGTGACCCACTTGTAACCTACTGTACAGCAGAGCGACATCCACTTACCCACCTTTTTTTAATCATTATTATTATTATTAGTTGTTTCATAATTTGTGAAGCTGAATAAAAAAATAGCATAGGCAATAACATATTATTATACAAAAATTAATTAGGTACTCATTGAAAAATGAAAACATTTGGTTTTTCTTTGAATATCTTGGCCCCAAAATAGGTATTATAATTCATCAACATTTAATGCCTACTAAATAGTAATATATATAATTTAAAAAAAAATTTTCACTCTCCACACGGGGCTGGAAGTAAGTCACTTTTTTAAAATTGAGTCACTCTAAATCACTTAGGTATTTATAAAATAAATCACTTATGTTACTTATTTTCAAAATGTACCTAAATTTAAATTTGAACTGCATATGGCGACCAACTTCATATTTGAATGTAGAGTAACATGCGGGAATCGCAGAAAAAAAAGTCCCGATAAAAATGAATGAAAATATATCAAAACTGAAGTATAAATATATTAAAATTGTATTGACATTTGACAAATACATGAAAGTTACATAAAAAATTATGTAATATCATAAATGTTAATTACTTACTTAAATCCAGGGCTTGAAACCGGTTACCATGACCAATTTTGGGTTTACCCGGTTTGTAATTGAGAAGCGGTTAACAATCACCGGTCACCACAAAGTTCAATTAATGTTGAACTTGTAGCGGTAACCTTTTTTTTAAAAACCTGAAATATCAAAAAAAATTTAACGTTATTTGTTTTTTTTTTATATTTTGTTTTTTTGGAAATTGTATTCTATTTTTTTGATTAATAATGTTATTTACAAGGTAATAAATGTAATGTAGGTAATAATAAGTACGATTAAATATGGTATACTGTCTGTAGCCCTAATAATAAGTAATAATCACCAATCGTAGATACTATTGATACTAAGTACGATTCATTGGTTCATAGACATACTATATAGAACATAATAGATGATTATTATTTATTTTATTTTATTGTTAATGACGCCGTTGATTAACACTTTTCCATGAACTATTTTTTAACGATGGTTATGGGTAATTTACTAATTTAATTTAAATTTATATTTATCCATAGCTTCAAATGATAAAATATAGCCATATAGATATTTATTTTTAATTTAGCTTGTCCCTGAATCGTTTCATAAAGTGAATATTTGTTTTGTATAAATTAAAGTAAAACTAAAATTTTTCGAAAAAAACCGTTTCCGAAGTAGTTACCGGTAATCTTGAAGAATTAAAACCACTTCCAAACCGATAACCGGTAACCACATTTTTAGAGATCATTTTGGTAACCGGTAAATGAATTACCACCATCAATTCTAAAAACCTCTAACTAGTAACCACTTACGAAAAAATGTTTGGGTCCTACCGGAACCGGTAACCGAATATTTCATAAGCGGTTTCATGCCTTGCTTAAATCACATATTAAAATAAAATAAAATTTAATTTAATACAAATTACAAGTCCAAAATAATAAAATGTAATACAATAATCAATAATAAATATAATTATAATAAAAATGTAATATTATAATTAAGTACACCTCTTTCTTGTGTTATGACTTACGGCTGTTAAAAAGGCCTGTTTATAGGCAGGTATACATATAACATATTATCATCCCAAAAACTTTGTTTTTATGTAATGTTCCTAATCAAACTTCAAATTATAAGTATCTATAGTAATTTCGTGTATATTTATTTGTCTACTATATTTGAAAAACCATCCAGAATGAATTCCTACTATGACAAACCATAGGCCGTGTTTTGTACTTATGATTAAAATAAAGGAAGTTCCTGAACAATGATCTTAAATATTATTAATTGAAACAGGTAATATGATTTAATTATTATTGCTATTAAAATAATATGTGTTTATTATAATCATTATTTTTTTGTAATTTCTACGAAATTAAGTAAGTTATAATCAATTAAATCAGAGGTACGTAGGGATTCAAAGACAATGTTTAATAACTGGTAAGTTGTTATAGAACAAATTTATGTAGGTCACTTTTTTGTCACTTTTATGAATAAATTCAGTCTCTTGATCACTTTTTTAAATAGCTCTAACCACTTCCAGCCTAAAGTGCTTAAACTAGGGTTGTCTACTAGAGCCTTACTTTAAGCGTTCAAAGCACCCATGTCGAACTCACCCACAGTATTATGTATATAGAACAGGGGTCTCCAAACTACGGCCCGTGGGCCGGATACGGCACGCGAACAAGTTTTAACCGGCCCGTGGCCCACATAGGACGCATAGGTAAATATAAATAAAAAAATTATTTCAAAAATGTGTTTATATTATATTATATTTATACCTATTTATTTTTATTTAAGTATATTGTAAAGTAAACAATATTTTATACAAAAATATAAAGTAAACATATTATTTATATAGGTAGGTACCTATATTATTATAAAATTAAAAATTATGTGTTGATAAACTTTTGGCCCTCATTGATTTTTTTTGTGGCCCTAGAATAAAAAAGTTTGGAGACCCCTGATATAGAACATTGAGACCTAGGTACTCACCAACTAAGATATAAGTCCGTGGACCTACTATTAGTCCATGATAATGTTCTATGGTATTATCTGTGGTCAAGGCCCAAGGGCTCCGCGAGAGGGGTGCAATTGCACCTTTCAAAAAAAAAAAAATTATGATATTGAAAATATTTTATTTTGCATAATTATCTATTAAAAATTATACTAAATATTTTACATAGTTATAGTTTATCTATAGTATAAATTATAATACTTATTTTTTAAATAATAATTGTAAACGATAAATTGAATTTTCAATCAATTTGGAATCTTCTTCTAGTCTCTTTCTATGTGCACTCATCATACACAATCCATAAAAAAATATTTCTACGTATTTAACTTAACTAATTTAAACATTATTTAGAAATCAAAGTATACTATTCACGATGCACCCCCCTGACAAAATTCCTGGCGGCGCCTATATGTCTGTGGTATTATCATAGAACAATATAAAAAGTATAGAAACACAGAATAAATTTATTCCGTCACAGAAACTCGATCAGCTAATTTGAGTCTTGTTATTAAATATGATCTAAAGTCTGAACCTCCGAAAAACATGGAAAAATTTATCCACCAACATGATATTAGCATAGTCCGAGTATAAGGTAGACCTTATATTATTATATTAGTCATTAGCGTCTGCAGTTCGTTCTTATTGTCATCATTCATTTATTCCGTAGTTCGTACTTATTAGTAATTTATTGTTTGCATGGTTCTTAGATTATAATATTTAAACATTAAAGACTATAGGTAATCCAAAAACATTGAGTTGTTTTTGTAGTTTTGTACCACGGTTTGTACCTATTGTGTTGCACCGCAATATACACACTCATGCTCTTAAGTTGATTTTTTCTAAGTTTTCTTAACGTCGTCCAGTGGCGTATACACAAATTATTTTCAGTATGGGCCAATTTTGGCAATTTATCACTATTCAAGCATAGCACGACTAACATAGCCAAAGCTATACATACTTTAGGGAGCTGGGTGCTTATAATTACCTATGATATATTATACAATACAAATAAACTCAATTTAATTTTATAATTACGTAAAATTCATTTTTTATTCTTTTTTAAAAAATATTGACAATTTCATATATATATATATATATATATATATATATATATATATATATTAATGTTATTTAACTGTGAGTTTAACATCAAACTACGAACTACCTAGTCTGGTGAAAACGGCGTACTAGGTACGCTTGTAACGAGATCGAACGTAGGTAACAAATTCGACTTGCTGGAAGCACCGGACGTCGATATCCGAGATTGTTGCGAGTTGCTGTTTGGAATTTTATAAATCGACAAAAATACCCAAACAAGGACAATGATAGGCAGACCATGTTCAGCAGATCGCAATTCCCCATCAATGACCAGAGGTTTAATAACAAATGCGAAAGAGCAGCGTTGAACGGGCACATCGATTGCCTGAAATATGCACACGAGGTCGGCGTCACTTGGGACAGTATTCCAAGATGGGGTTGGCGGCGACATAGACTGCGAAATCGGGCAACTAGATTGGTCCTAAGAGATGCCTAGGAGAACGGGTGCGCCTGGGATAAGAAGACGTGCCAGCAGCGCGCATGTACGGTCAAATGGAGTGTGCCTTGTCTACGCACGGGAAAACGGGGCCCCGGGACAAGGAAACGTGCAGTAAAGCCGCTTATAACTGTCACAGGAGTGCTTGTATACGCAACGGTAAAAACAGCGCCCATGGGACAAGTGGACGTGCAGCAGCGCCGCGTTGAACGGTCAACGGTTGATGGAGTGTCTGATATAGCCTGGAGAACGGGTGCCCGTGGGACCGATTTACTTGCGAGCCAGGCCGCTTATAACGGTCATATCGAGTGCTTGGTCTACGCACGGGAAAACGGCTGCCCTTGGGATGAGAGGACGTGCAAAACGCAGCGATCAAAGGTCATATGAACTGCCTAATTTGCGCTCGAGAAAATGGGTGCCCCTGGGACAAGGAGACGTGCAGCTTCGTCGAGAAGAACGGTCACTTGGAGTGCTTGGTCTACGCACGGGAAAACGGGTGCTCCTGGGACAAGGAAACGTGCACGAATGCAGTTAGGAATGGTCATTTGAACTGCCTAAGTTACGCTCGAGAAAACGGATGCCCCTGGGACAAGAACAACGACTCCTATAGACAGATTTAATACTATTTGGAGGAAATTATTTACATAATAACTTAATATAAAATTAACATACATATTTACTAAAATTATTTAAAAATGTCTATTTTTCAGTCAAATAGACAACTCTCTATTTCCAACAATTAACTCGATTTGCTATTTTACAAACTATTCTAACTGTTTACATTATGTAAGATTATAGATCAATCAAGTCAAATATTCACAATTTACACCAGTTTAAATATAAATTTTAATGTGACTATAAGTTGTATTATAGTAGGTACGTAATTAAAAAGTGTTTTAAATCAGTATGAGTAAAATAGTAATTACTTAAACTACCTAAACTGAGTGTAGTTAGTGCCATTGGCAGTATTTGACAAATATTAAATAACATTCTTTTAAGTCTTCCCCATTGTTCCTTGAAATCTCTTCTTCTTCTCGCCGTAAGAGGCTGACCTTCTTTGTCAACCTCTCTTTTAATGGCGTAAGTATGCCTGACCTCTTTCTCTACTCTTCCCGTTCCGTACATACACAGAAATCACTCACGTTTCCTGTGCCTTTCACCGTTTCAACTACTTCTAACATCCTTTCCAGAAGTTCGTCTGCTCAATAAAGATCATGATATTGTACAACAAGTAGTTAGTTTAATTATTGTTATTTTTTATTGTAAAATATTATGTTGCTCTTAATTACTATGTTTCACTCGTTTTTATCAGATTACCCCAATTTTACTAATATTCTCGTTATATGTTGTACTCTGAATTGCGATTCTTATAAAAAAAATAACATAATAATAAAAATTTGTTGACAATTAAAGTTGTATATAATACATTACCAGTGTTCGGAAGGTTCACTAAAAAATGAGTGTTTTTTTCAAGTTCGTGTTTTTTTTTCAACGAAAGCGTTCACTTTCAGGTTCTTTTAAAAACGAACGAGTTTTAATTGAGTCGTTTATTAATTTAGTTTTTTTTATGAATTCGTTCGCATGCAGTCAATATAAAAATTAAAACACATAAACATATACAAAAAAAATAAAATACAAATATACCTACACTCAAAGCATAGACAATTTATAAAGTATCTGAATTAATTTTTTATGTCTGTCATGTTGTTTGAGTTACATTTTGATAAGGATTTCCTAGTGATAAATGTAAGCCAAAGGGTATTTATTATTACAAATTCGTGGAAATCATAATATATTATTGCTGTTGTATGTCTAGCCGGGGACACTGGAATTTCACGTATTTAATTTATATATTTTGCAATCAAACAAATATTATAGGAGTTATAATGGGAAAAATGAATATATTATTATTATAATATAATCAATTGATATATTTTATACATATAATATTTATTAAATGGTAAATAAGTTAAACGTCTTAAAAATCGATCAAATTCATTAAAAATATTAACATCCTTCACGTTCAAGTTCGATTTGCAAAAAACGAGTGACGTTCACTATATTATATGAACGACATTCTTTCCAGACACTGATTATTACTATCTTAGCTATATTGGCAACAATTTTGTTCTGTTAAACTGCTTTAAATAGAGGTATTTCATAGGTTATTGTTAATTTTAGAACTTAAATCACCTGTGCTATAAAGATTTGAATATGATTATAGAGGGATGTAGTATGAGTTGCAGTTTCTTTTTTCAATTGATTTTCATTATCAGACAAATATTATGCTTACCGCTGAAAGATGATATCCAATCAAAATCTAAGAAATTTAATATTCATTAGGTTAGTTTATATTGCAATTTTCAGTTGGAAAAATTGACAAGTCTGCTATAAACATATTTATTGCATCCAATTTTCATTATCGAATTTAAAATACATTCTAACAATTAGTTGTTTGACGAATTTAAATATAATTGGTTGACAATTTACAAACAAGGATGTCTTGTCTATTATTTCATGTAAGAAATATGTTGTGAGTTCTGTTTTCTGCATACAATTTACAAACAAATAAATAAAACCAAAAATGTTGGGAATAGATTTTTTTATTTCTTCCTTTTTTTTTGTATTTATATATATTTTTTTTTAATTTCTATTACGAAACAATTTTAAAAATCGGACTTACATTTCATTTAAAAAAAAAGAAAAACATTTCATAAATTACATATTTTATAGGATTAGTATGTTCTTTCTGAGTTAACTGTACGAATTTTTTTTTCTTACAAAATTGAAAATATCTATCATCAAAGATCTATCATTTAAGGGTGGGTGAGGGGGGGAAATGTATAAAGTAAACAAAGACTTAAAAGTAATAGTTATAAATGAAAATTATAAAAAAATCTAATATTTAAATTGAATAAATTGAATAAATAAAAAATGTAATATTAAATTGTTAACATTCTAATAATAACAAGCATACATTTATATCGGCATTATTTTCGAACACAAGTACTCTATTATTTTCGATTACAATAAAAAAAAAAAATTAATCATTTTGTTCTCGTCCATTCACTGGATGATTATTATAATAATGTATCTGAAATCGACCGATTAAAATGTTTTCTTATAAATCGATACTATTAACATTTCGATTACATACATGTTTATATTTTGTACTATTATAAAAAGAAAATGATCAACTCAAATATATAATTGAACACCTACATATTATAAACAGCACATTTTTTTTTTTTTTATTATTATTTAGCTGTTAATTATTATAAATATCCATATATTTTAATAATAATGATAAAAAAATTGACACAGAAAAAACATGCTTAATACAAATAAAAAGCGTACAAGAACTTTCAAATCACTGTTTGGGATAGATTTCTGACATAAATATTATTATACGATACTTTATTATAATTGATTTTTTTTTTTTTTTAAATATATATATATTGTAATATAAATTGATACCTAAAGAACACGACTATTATAAATTAGCGTCTTGCATAACATAAACAAGTTCATGAAATTTATATGACACTTTGTCTCTACACGCATATTTATAAAGTATTACATTAAAATATTTAACATTATTCATTAGTCGCCAGAGGTTTGTCATCTATACATTCTGTGCTTTGTGGTTTTGAACTACTGTCTATTTTTTCTTCGGCTTTTGAATCAACATTTGCATTAGCATTATCAATTTTATTGGGAATAGGCAAGGGAGGTTCAACAATCAAACCTAGAAAATAACACAATATACCATATAAAATATAAAGTAAGTAAATGGAAAATTATTTTAAAATATTTTAATTTTCGTACCTGCATTAGACACATAATAGTTATTAGAGGTTTGGCTTTTGTTCATTAAGTGTTGTATTGGTGCACAGTTCGGTTGCATTCGCATGTTTTGTGGCGGTGGTGGAATACGCTGTAAATATTGGAAAGTTGATACAGGCCTTTGGATGGGAGTTGGATACGGAGGTGCGATTTTACCAGCCATTGATCCATTGTTGCTGTTGTTCATGTTCATCCTGGGTTGCTGCATCAAGGGCTAAAATAAGATAGAGATGTATACTAATAAAATAATAATAATTAATAGAGAATAAAGAAATGTGTTGAATTCTGAAAGATATCATATCATGCCAGTCTTATTTGCTCTATAATATCCAGTACCTAACACTTAAGACACATGAGCCTTTAGACCACAAACATCGGATGAATATTATTCAATGAGAATTTAAAAAACACTTACCAACTGATTATTTTGAGTGGCGGAGACTTGATAATTACTATATTTTCCTTGCATAGCCTGATGAGTTTGTTGATTTGAATTCATCAATGTCTTATTATCTGAAAATGATTTAACAAATGTTAGCAACTTATCTTTCATTGTAAATTGTAATAAACACTAAAGACTTACTATCGAAGTATTGCTGCTGTTGTTGTCTGAATAAGTTAGAAGAATACATGGGATTTCCTAAATCTTGTTGATTTGAGATTCCAGACTTTTGAAGGTCGTTTGTACCATTTCCACCAGCCAAATTTCCCTTTATGTATGGGACTTGTCGATACTAGTTAAATAAAAGTATAAAAGTTAATAATTTAAAACCTAAGATTGAACTTCACAACAACAAGTTTTAATTAAGAGGATGCAACATAGTAAAACTGGGTTCAGCAGAATTTTGTACTGTTTGCTTTAAATGAAAATGAAAATAAAGATAAAATCTTATAAGATGCCCTGGATAATATTCTTACAATAAAGTTTGATGATAGGTCTATGAGAAGTCATTCTAATATTAATATTAAAGCTGGAATCACAAAATGAGTTCTGCCGAACAGAAATTTGCTATGTTGTATGATTTTAAGACAAAAACAACACACGCTCTTAATACAAAGCATTTTTATATTTAAATAAAACAAAAATCATGGGCATTGATGTATAATATTTATGTCATTTTGCTGACTTTAGTACAAAATACAATAGGTATTGTATTATTATATATTTGAATTGTCACAAAAAAGTTAATATTTATATATATATATATATATATATATAAAATCTTGTACCAAAGTATGTAATAAGTATGGACTAATGATAAATTACAAATTACCTGTGACGTATAACTTTGCATGTTTGGGGGTGGTGCGTTTTGAGAACCAAATGCGGCTGGAATTCCAAAGGTGTTTCCACCAGATGCGCCAGGAACCACTTGTGGTTGAAATGCAGATGGAATATAACTAGGATTTGTAGGTCCTGCTAGTTAATAAAATAAAAGTTTAATAATAAATATTATAACAAATATTATTATATTGGCAATAAAATGTAACTTACTTGCTGAATTAGTAGAGTATAGGGACGAGGAAGTTTGCAATGGTGTTGCTCTTGTATTGTTCATGGAATTGAATGGTTGGTTGAATATAGGATCAAATGGCACCAAAAACTAAAAATAAAATAATATAAGGAAAATGGAAAGCAAAAATAAAGTTTTAAATTATTTTACAGGTGAAGGTTGAGGTGTTGTAGCATTATACGTATTTTTATTTCCAATCGTTCCAATTTGCTGTGAAGACTGTTTTACTTGCGAGGAAGAAGAATTAGTACTGCTCGGTATTAATACTGGGTTTATATTTGTATTTAATTGCTGACCATTATTATAAGCCTAAACATTTAGATATTTTTAACAAATTAAATTGATTATACCCAGAAATTGTTTTTGATTTTTTACTTACCGGTCCCATTCTGAATGGAGATATAGAAGATTGTAATACTTCTGAACCACCTTGACCAGCCGGTGAACCAGCATGAATAAACATTGATGGATTATATTGATTCATATTTTGATTCAAACCATTAGATTGAAGACCATATGCAAATTGATTATATTGAGACCGTGCTGCACCGCTAATAACCTAATAAAAGATATTATTTTGAGATTATTTTTGAATTAAAAGTTGTTATTATTTTTAATCGACTTACGGTTTGAGAAGGTTCTAATAACGAATAAACTTGTGGAGCAGAAGGGGATGGTGGTGGCATTGTTGTTGTTGAGTAATGTTGCTGAGCTGAATTAAACAAAATAGCTGATGAAGGAGATTGTCCAGTACCAGCGGACACAAACTGTTTAGTCATCATTTCTACTCCAGTTTTATTATTGGTATTTAATATTAAATGTGTCTGCTGTTGTTTAGCAATATGAGGGCCATACATATCAGGTAATCCATCACTATTTTCCATCATTATCTAGGATATTAAAATTTCATAATTAATATAAAAATATATTCATATAAATCTTAAAATCAATATTAAGAGAGAGCTACATCTGAATGTACTGCCTTCAAGTCTTACAAACGTGGAACATGGCAAATTGTATATTCTGAATAATTCATTTAATTCCATTTAACTAATTTATTATTAATATTAGAGCGAATTGACCCATTATTAAATGTATAACTAATATAAATACTATTATCTAGTGAACCTCGTAGGTTTTTTTTAAATTTAAATTTTAAAATACTCATAATTTGCTTTGAAATTAAAATCGAAAAAAATACCTAAGAGGTTCACTAATATACATTTATGAATAGGTCAATTCACTGCTATAATATTTATCATAACAGAGTAAGATTGTTCAGAACGTATAATTTGCCATGTTATAAGTTTGCAAGACAGAGACAATGCATGAGGGTATTGTGCCCTATTAATATAATAATATACAAACATAGTTTTGTTTTGTAATACTAATTTTGTAATTACTTGTAAATTCATGTGGGTTGCTTGTGTTGGTATAGCATTAGCAAGTGGTGTAGTTGATGTATGCGGTTGAGGTGTTGTAGAGCTGAACACATGTGTACTAGTAGATGACTGTTGCTGTTGCTGCTGTTGTTGTTGTTGTTGTTGTTGTTGCTGCTGCTGTTGTTGTTGTTGCTGCTGCTGCTGCTGTTGCTGTTGTTGTTGTTGACTCAATGGGGGCGATAATGTACCCTGCGGTTGAGGTTTAACCTTGAGAAATATAAAATTGTTATAAATGACATATTACCTCATTGACAGCCAAGTATTTACCTTGCATACGTTTGTGGTAGCAGCATTTGGATCTTGTTTGAGTTGACCAGCAGCAGCCATGGACACTGGAATGTAAGAGCCAGCAACATTTTGTAACTGAGGTGCAGGGCTAAAATTTAAAAAAATATATATATAATTATAGTTACATGATTTGTTGTATTGTATACAGTATAACATTTATTTATGGGGTTATACCATGTAACAGGTGTTAAAAAGCAGCTATGAACAAATTGTAAATCTACGTGTTAATTACAACAAAAAGTGTCACGTACCAAAGTACATACCTGTACACTTGCTGATTGTGAACTCTTTGTTCATCAATAACAGAAATTTCAGATTTATCGTGTTGTCCACTACTTGCAGTGCTATACACTGTATTAAAAGCACTATCAGCAATGTTTTGTTGGACTTGTGGATTAGATTCTGGTTTATCATCCCAAACCTTGACCAAAAAAGATTAAAAAATAAATATTATGTTAAGTAGGAGGAAAAGAAATAAACTAAATACAGATCAATCTTAAGAAATATAACACAAGTTTCATCAACAAATGAGATTATTACCAAAATTAATATGATTAAAATTAATTGGTGTACATGGTTAGGTTTAATTTATACTGTGAATTGTTCTAATTTTGTTAACACACATTTTTTTCAACAATGTATTAGCTTTATAAAATTGTAATCATATTAATTTTGGTAATATCCATTTGTTGATGAAACTTGTGTTACATTTCTTAAGATTGATCTGTATTTAAAGGATTAAATTATTTCTAATATATAATATCATAATGTCTTTTTTATCTTTTTATTTAAATGGAAATCTATACTTATTGTTTTATAACTTATAAACAGAAGTATACTCTATAAAAAAGTATTGTTAAAATTGCTTAGATATTCGTTTTTAGATAAAACTATTCTACTTCAGATTATGAAAATAAAAATATAGGTTGCCATTTTATATTTATAATCACAACTAAGTAATTTATTATAATTGAAAAAAAATTAAGAAAGTAAGCCTACTCTGACAACCATAGTGTCAATAAGAAAAACAAAATGTATTGGTTATTTACTAACAGTTTGTCTAATTGTCCTCCACTAAAATAAAATAATGTACAGGTTACCTAACAGTTTAATCAAGAAACAGACATTATAAACTATTAGAAATGTTTTCAAATAAAAAAAAAATTAATGTTTGTTGATAAAAGAGAATCACCGTATGAATCATCATATTATTTTTTAAATACCTTTTTAGTGCCAGCTATCATAGTTTTTAAATCACTCGCTGCTAATGACGATGGTCCAGTATGCATTGATCTGGTATGGGCGGCTGCCATTGCCATAACATCTTTGTTTTCTACAGATAAATGACCACCACTTTGAGTAAAATCAGAGTCAAAATCTCCAAATCCAAGATTCAACTCGGAACTTTCATCATTCTAATATAAAAAGATACATCAATACAAGATAGTCAAACAAAAGTATTAAATAAATACTTAACTAGTAATTAATCAAGAACAAATATCAATTTAATTAAAACACAATTATTAATTATTATAACTTACTTGAAAGCTTATAGACATCTGTACGGCATCATTTAATTTAGAGTCTTTACTATCAGATTTGAATGCTCTAAAGCAAGTTTCTTGAGTATCTTCATTAAAATTACAAGTATCTAAAAACAATTAATTTCATTAAAAATGTTGTTACAAATAAAATCTTTTATTATTATCTAACCTTTTTCATTGCGCTGCTTGATATTGGAATTATATTTATTTTTAGATTCTCCACACGGTTTTGATTTGTACGTAGTATTTTCAAATATAATTGTTTCCATACGTTGCGAAGAATCAAGAATACCATTTTCCATAACCTTTTATTAAACATTATAAATAATGAGGATTAAATAATTATTGAATTACTTGAAACACATAATACAATTACCCATTATTAATAAAATTGTATTTAATACTTAGATATAAATATACATACATTGGGTGAAGATTTTTCTTTATTTGAAGGTAACCTCTGGGATGTCTGTCCAGGAATTTCTTTAATTTCAGTTAAACTGTAAGGAGACAAAAATAAATGATTATCAGTAGAGCTCAGATGTTAATGACCAAAATTTCATTATTTATGCATTTGAAAATGTTAAAATATGCAATATATGCCATAGATTCTATCTAATGTATAGAATATATTAAACATACCTATTTCTTCAAAAAGAATATGCAAAACAAAGGGCTAATAATAATTCAAAAATATTATATCCACTTTTTACTTAATTAAAAAATACACAACTATAGTCTATTCAAAATGAGATCGGTACACGGTGGCGACCAGTTTTCGTCAGACATATAGTCAGAGCCTAACGCGTTGGGCGCTGCCACAAAACAATGCCACGCTAATGCGCACTATTTGGCCACCCGTACTGATCTCATTTTGAACAGACTAAAGTTTTAGGATACTCTATTATTAGGATTACATTGATTGACAATTATTATGCTTATATTTAGAAATTTTTTCGATAATCCGCCAATATGTTCTTATACTAAAATTACCGCTACACATCTACAGAGTTGATAGGTGTATACTTTAAGTTGACGATGTCGTCAAATTCTATAACTTCAGGAAATCCATTCAATGAAGTTTTGCCGTCCAGTATTTTGGAAATTTTAGACAATAATTTATGCCCAGAATTTTTGCAACTTTTTATATATTAATTTACTTTGAGGAACTGACGCTGCATTTGATAGGTTTTTTAAAAAGGTTTTGATAGTGGCAACCGAATTGGATATAGGTTTTCCTTTTTATTCCAGAGATTTTAGAGCTGAAGATAAAAACGAAAAATTTGATTTGAAAAGAGCTAAATTGGCTTCGACTTTTCGCTCACCCATAGTTTATTGAGCTGTTCTTATAGACGAAGCATCATTAGGATAAAATTTTTTTTAATATTTTTATATGAACCATATTAATAAATAGCCGCTGTCAACCGTGTTCCCCAACACGATATGTCAGATTCTGGTAGCAAACTTAGCTTTGATGCTTTATCTTTAAATATTTGTATTCTTGCTGGGCATTTAAGGAAGACTTTTTTGAAGGTCAAAATAAGATTGTCAACGAACGGAAAATAGCTACGGTTTTACTCAGCTACATGATGTTAAGCGTGAGCAAGGCAAGTTAGACGAAGTATCTTTGGATCCAATAAATGGCGCGGTGTCACTAATTAGCAACAAAACATTATTGTTTTCTACTCATTCAGGACAAATTAAATTCATCGTTTTCATCGTTCTATCAAATAGTTGATTTATTGTCGACTGTCTGTTTTTTCAAGACGTTCACAATTAATAAGCAAAAAATTGCCAGCTACTTCAGAATCAAGTAAGCCCACAATAACATTGGCTACATAGAGTCCGTCGACATCCATGGTCTCATGGATTTATACCAAAATTTTAAGGTTAAAGACCTCGTTTGTATTTTAGTTAAAATTTGGAAACAAATACTGTCTCAGTAATTTTTTTTCAAGGTTGATTGATCAGGGATATTTTTAAATGTAAACTTTTCTAAGAAGTTTTTTTTTAATTTAAGATTATTGTAGAGTGAAATATTAGCAAAATCAAAGTTAAAATCACTTTTTTGTTTGTATTTTCAGTTAATACGATTGAATTTACGTCTTTTTTTCTTCAATTTTATTTTTTGCTCATACTTCGCCGTTTTTATGTGTTGTGTTACTAAAAACCATTAAGTTGCAGATACTTTAACTTCACAGAATTTGCAAAATAATATCTTACCATCGGAACTAAGTAAATGATCTCTGAACTCTTTGACAAAACTAATTAACAAGTTTTTTGGCATTATGTTAGTATACAGTATGTCCCAAAAGTCCCGTATCACCCTTAATATCTCCATGTAAAATCACTATATTTAAACGCGGTTTTTTTACAGTACTAAGTATGAAAATTCTGATTAAATGGAATAAAATTCATTTATTTTTTTCTTTAAATTCAAAAATTTTCAAAAAAATTTTTTACGCATTTAAGAATTTAAAATTTTTAAGATAGCCATTTTGTTGAGCATATTTTTTAAAACAGTTCAAAAAAAAAAATACTAAAATTAAATAAAAATTGACCAAGTTAGAGCAAGTTATGTTTTGGAATAATTGTAGTAAAAAAATTAATTAGGAATGCAAAAGTATTGTCGTGTGCTGAAATTAGATATTTCATTATTGAAATGTGAAACAATAATTTTTTTTTTTACTACAATTATTCAAAAACATAACTTACTCTAACTTGGTCAATTTTTATTTAATTTTAGTATTTTTTTTTTTGAACTGTTTTAAAAAATATGCTCAACAAAATGGCTATCTTAAAAATTTTAAATTCTTAAATGCGTTAAAAATTTTTTTGAAAATTTTTGAATTTAAAGAAAAAATAAATGAATTTTATTCCATTCAATCAGAATTTTCATACTTAGTACTGTAAAAAAAACCGCGTTTAAATATATTGATTTTACATGGAGATATTAAGGGTGATACGGGACTTTTGGGACATACTGTATATGGCCAATACTGGTCTTACTGGACAATTTATAATACAATACTTATAATTTATATTAAATATGCTTTATTTTATAATCTAAAAATAATCAAAATATGCATTTCTATGCTCAAAAATGTCAAATATGCAACAGTATGTAAAACAAGTTTGCATATTTGTAATCTAGACTTTATGAATCAAATTTATATGATACTCGGTATAATTTTGTTTGAGGGGAAAAAAATATGCAGTCATAGAACCGAGCTCTATTTATCAGTAGTAAAAATGATCAATATAATTACAATATATCATATCGCCGTCCCGGTAAAACAATGACGCAACTGCAATAATTGCAATTTTACAGGAAACCCAAAAAACTAAATTGTTAATTATTTATGAGTGTACAAACTGATAATTCCACAACGACGCAATTGCCCTCTGGAGGTCTAAAATACAACTACAGTTCCGTCGTTTTTCTACATTATGCGTACGCTATATTTAAACTCATTATAGCATTTAGGCCATTTATAAAAAATTTTGGAGTTGCGTCATTGTTCTACCGGACGGATATAGGCATTATTTTGTATATAAGTAATCCATAGAAAATAAAAATGTACAAGTTTTACTTTCACCAATATCAATAAAATACTGATATTAATTTATCATACATGATGAACAGCAAAAATGCTTTCTTAGGAAAATAAAATAAACTGTATTTACTATTTTATAGTTATAACTCATAAATTTATGTTTAAAATAAGAATTCATAAAGATAAAACTATGTCAAATTAAAAGTTAATATCTCTAATAATAATATAATCAATATGCTTTAATACCTATTAGGTCGGTTGTTAGGCTGTGGAGCAACTGGCTTATTTACATTAGGTGACTGTGCTCGGAGAGCATGAGTTATTGGTTTGTCCCAAGCATTTGTTTGTGGAGGAGGGGGAGGATTGTTGCTAACCATAACTACAGTATCTAAAAAAAAAAAAAAAATTCCATTTAATTTATATTATATTTTAATTGTGATTTAAGTTATAGTATGTATTTTATCAAACCTTTAATGATGGGAACGTTTGAGTCGTCTTGACCAATTTGTGGCTGACTTTTTTGACGTTCATACCTCTGATTTGTTTGACCAGGCTTAGCTGCATTGTTATTTTGATTAGTCCTAGATGTTGGTTTAGAAGAATCTTTACGATTACTCTGATTGGTTAAACGTTGAATTTTTTGTTGTGAATCACTCAACTTTCTCTGGTCATCTTTTTTAATAGATCTTCCATCCTGAGAAGTACTTCCTAAAATGATTGATGTATTAACAAAATATAAATATTTCACTGTTACATTTTTATTGAATATTATATTAGATTTACCACTATAACCACTCTTAGGGTCATTAATAGAAGTAGTTGCTGTTAACTTTTGATTGGATTTGTCAGCATTACCAAGTTCTTTGGGCTGATCCTTTTTATCATAACTGGATCTTTTGTCACCCCTTAAATAAAATAAGAATAATTACAAAAATTAAGAACTATTTATAAAAACTATATTAAATTACCTTGATGATGCTAAATATGTACGACTACTTAGTCTCCGATTACTACTTTTTTGTTGAGCTTCATAATCACTAGGTTCACTGACCGAATCCCAATGATCATCTTGTTTTTGACTATTGAGTGGTCGATTACTTTGTCTAGAACCGAATCGACTTTCACCACTTCTACGGTTTGTATCTCCAGACGTTGTAAATGTATCTAACTTAGACTGTGGTTTAGATGATGAATTTTTACTTCTAATAGAACCAGAGTTTGGATTTAATTTGTTTTTCTCAACATTTTCATCGATACTATTTTTTTGACTGCTACGTCCATTTAAAGTGTTTGATTCTAAACGCACTCTTCCTCTCTGTTCAGATCTCTGACCATATCCACGTAACGTCGATTTGTCAGAATAACGATCATTTTGTCTTATACTTCCTCTGTTTCGATCATCGTTTCTATTTCTATCATCTCCTCGATTTCGGTCATCATTTCTATTTCCTCCTCGATTTCTGTCTTCACCTCGATTCCTGTCGTCCCCACGATTCCGGTCGTCTCCGCGATTCCTGTCATCACCGCGATTTCTGTCATCGCGTCGAGGAGGACCTCTGGAACGTTGACCTTCTTCATAAGACTCCGGCCAAGCATTTTTTCTATTTGACCCAGACCTGGAAACTGTTCGAGAATTGATACTCTGATGATATGAAGAACGTGATCCAACATAGCGGTCAGATCTCATCCCTTTTTGATGAGATAATGTAGAAGTACCAGAATTGTTTTCTAAAGATGATTTTGGTTCTAGAAATATTTTACTTAATTAGTTGTTTCTAATTTGTAGGTTTCTACTTTCTCCAAGTAACAGGAGCACCTTAATCGTTTCGACACCCCCTTCCAAAATTGATATCAATAAATAAGAGATATAACCAAATCATAAAAATAATTCTAAATGTTCTGGATTTGATATAAGTCCATACCTATTCTATACTCAAATTAATTAATTAGGAAATTTCAAATTTAATAAGAATATTTATACTATTCCGTAGCAAAAATAGAAAACATTGCATCGCCAGTTCTGTTGGTTATTTGAAACTTTTATCAATTAATTTCAAGAATAACTTCTGCGCTCCTGTTTCTTGATATTAACTAAAAAAAAAAGTTCAAAAATAAAACCTATAATTCATTAATTGTAATACCTGATAATTTGTCGTCATCATTTTTTTGACCACTTTTACCACTTTTTGTTTCCTGTTCAAGTTTTTGTTCTTGCAACATTTTATTTTTATTATTAGTTGGAGCTAAATCCCAAACAGATTTATCTTTATTAGATAAATCGTCACCCTAAAATAATATATTAATATACTATTATTCATACAATATACATAGTACAGAAAATTAGTAAATATTAAAAAAATAAAATGAAATCCACATTCCAGAATCAAAGCAGACATTTATTTTTGTCTTTGTTTAAATTTCACCTACGGGTATGAAAAATGAACTATAAAATATAAAGTAACTGCATATTTCTAGTTGAGAATTATTTTTAAATTGTATACTTGTGTCAACAAACAAATATAATTTAGGAACTTACTTGATCATTTTTCTTCATATCCTTTCTTTCACTTTTCACTAATTGATTTAAATTCCGTTTAGGTTCACTGGTTAGTTCACAAGCTTCAAGTTTCTCTTGAGTTATGGGGCCAGGTATATATTTTTTACCCTAATATAAAATTAGTTATAAATTTTAATAATACAATAATTGTAATTGTAATTATTACAATTACGTATTTAATATACATACATATTGGCCCGATGAATTATTTTCATCTTTATAGAAATCTTTACCAAGAGAATTTTGTCTCCAATGATAAGTTTCATCATCACCTTGCCTATAAAATATCAATCAACAATAAGAACACATATTAATACTAATAATAAGCAAAACTTACACATTATCTTTTTCAATATCCTCTGGAGTTTCTAAAGAATCTCGAGAATGATATTTTGATACTTTTGTAAATTCTTTTTTATCAGCATCATAATTATCATCAACTGATTTCTTTACATTACTTCCGGCATCCTATGATAAACAATGTTTGATATAATAAATAGAATTAAGTACAATAAATATTGAAAATACTAACATTCCTTTTGAAATCACGTCTGTGATCATAATTCTTTCTATTGTCATCACCTCTAGAAGTATAATCACTATGTGTATATTTATCATTTTTGTCTTTAGGATCTGAACGAACCTTTTCCCTTCTGTATCTATTTAAAAAGTCAATTACAACCAGATTATTAATTTTGCTTATATGAAATTGATTTAGAAAATGAAGATTTAAAAGATTTTACTCATACAATTTTGAGTAACCATTACTCATTTTTTTTTTTTTTTTTTTTTTTTAATAATTTTACTTGATTAACTCATTATACATCAGTTTAAATAGTTGTGTACATTAATACAATATATATTTATTATTTTAGTATTGCTTAACCTATTTTTTTTTATAAAAGTGTGTTAATATATATTAAATGCATACTAAATTAATAAAATTAAAGTTCTATCAGCTATACATTTCAAATATATATTTATAAATAATTATCAAGTCTAAATGAATGGTAAAAAATCCATTGTGAGACTAGATGTGTTACAAACATTGATTAACTCGAGGCGATTTACAAATCACGTGAATGGTGAAACATAAAGACGATAACAAATTAAATCAAAATAACAATGATTTATAACTGTATCAAAATTCAAAATATCTATAAAAGCACTATTTTCTCCTGTATAACTGATAGTAGAGGAGACTGTGTGAACGATACACATAAAAGTACAAATACTATACTATTTATACTTGTTTAAAAAATACATTTGCTAAGTTATATTACATAACAAAATTATAAAATAACAATTGTTGGCTGAAATGGTGGATATTATAGATTCTGAGACTAAATAGTATTTTCTATAAATACAAGTCAAAATATTTAGACTAATTTTAATGAATATATACCATTAACCTATTCACACCAGTGTACAGTATGTCGGTATTGAGTATTGACTAATAAGTAAGGCACTGAATTATATGCACTTACAATATCCAAACAAGAAAACATTTTAATTAATAATTAAATCAAGAGCAGCGGATTTTTGATTCTGCACATCATGTATTTGACTGACACTAAATGGCACAAAGTGGGGGAATGCCAACACGGGTTCCTTCTCTCATGGCGCAGTGTATAGTTTTAATAGTTGTATTATATTAGTATATTACACAATTTTTATATATTTTTTAATTTGAAACAAAATCACGGAATTTGGCAATGGTATGTTTGTATACATAGAATAGTTTTTCCTTAATTTTGACTTATCCGGAAAAGCAAACAAATAATAGTAAAACGAATGGGAATTAAACACTGATATTTGTTATACAGAAATATGCAGTACACATAAAAAAAAGACTAAATATGCAAATTAAACTTTGTATTCCAGATCTATGGACTATAATTCAAACGTGTAGCTTATCTAGCTATTTTTTGGACTATAAAAAAAAAATATGCTAATGCTTATGAATCTAGGCCTTACTAATAAGTAATTAATTAATAACAGCTTAGTAAGTAGTAGTAATATTACATGTTACATTATTCATGTGTTTATTATATTACTTATGGCAAATATTAGTTACATTTAGCCATTTAACCATGTTACTTTTAGCAATATAAATATATAATAAAATATCCTTAGAGTATAGTCTAACAGACCACTAACTCAAAATTGTTATCCATATGAAATAAATGCTTCATCATGAAATTCAAATTTAACAGATTCATTATAGTGACATCCAAGTAGTTTACCTTATATTGCCCAACATAATAAATATTGACATTGGAATAAAACATACCTATCAAATTCTGATCGTTTATCCCGTTTCAAACTCGATGATTTATTTGTATGATCATCTTCAACCCATGAATCACTTCTGTACTCTGAATATCCACTACTACTCATATCACTATCAGTACGACAAAGTGTATTTATACCTTCTAAAAAATAACACCCAAACTGTTAATTTAGAAAACTTAAAATTAAAATAATATAATTTTACTTGTAGAAGAAACATTTTGAGCTTTATTACTGGCGTCATTGTTTTGTTCAAATTGTTTTTGCAGTCTTGAAGATAAATATTTAGTATTAATTTCTTTATTGTCATTGCTTTCATCATATTTATCTTTTGATAATTCAGATCGGAACTTTGAGGGATCGTCTACGAACTCTTTATCCTGAAATAACATAAATTAGCCATTAAAAAAAAATAAATGTACAATAATAATCTAAGATATGATATGCAAGCTGTTCTTTGATATATATATTACATAAATATTTACTTTATTATCTTTATTTTCTCCGTCCATTTTTTTTAATTTTGTTGCTTCTAGTTGTTGTTGCATTTCATAACGTTTCATCTCTTCTAATTTTCGATCTTTTGAACGTTGTAAGGCAACAGATACCACCTCAGTTACGTCACGTGTTCTTCCTGATAACTCATCGTCATAAGGATCTTCTACTTGACGTTCTTCCTAAAATTTATATTTAAATATTTCGTTAAAAATATACATTTTGCACTATTTAAAATTAAATCTAACTTGATGAGATGACGGTGTTCTACTATATTGTTGCATATAATCTGAGTTGTAAGTTACATCTCCATTGACATTGACATGCATGAAAATACCCTCCTAAAAAAATGAAAAATGAAAATATAGGAAAAATATTAAATAAGTAATAATTGACAATTTTTTACCTTTAAATTTTGAACCAGACTTGGATCACAAATTTTATTACTTAAGTAACCTTTAGTATTATCGGATCTACTTCTGATATCACCATTCAATGATTGTTTATTTAATTTTTCATTCAATTGGTCTTCATCATCACTGAAGTCCAACTTTTTACTAATAACACACAAAATGTAATGTTTAAACTAACTAATAAAAAAAAAAAAGAATCTGCTAGTTAAGGAAAAAGACAAAATTATTACTTGTAGTCAATTTCTCCTTGTATAGACCACCCAGTTTCTTTGGAGAGTTCATTCATTCTTTTTAAATCTTCTTCACGAATAATCGGAGGAGGTATAAGTTCCTTGATATCTGCTGTAGGTTTACTTAAAACACCATCAGTGATCATTGATGAAGATGAAATATGGTGAAACATTTTTTCTGATGGATAAATATGTTGTTTGGTATGATATATAATATTATCAGATTGATTTGGAACCATCTAGTAATTTATAAACATATATTTATATATTATATTTACTTATAAAATTAATTTAAAATCTTACAAAGTTAGGCAACATATTCCTCATAACAGGATTTTTAGTCATGTTATATTGCATTTGATAGGGATTCAGGCCGGCCGGGGCCCCGGCCACCCCATTTTGGACCGAATTGCTCCGTACGCCATTCACATTTTCTGTCCCTTAAAATAAATGATAATTTCTTTTATTAATTTCTCAAAAAGTTACGGTTCAAAAACAGTCTATTACTTAAAGTTAAGATTTTTTTTAGTTATTATTTAATATCAGAAAACCAGTGATCACAAATTTTAAAAATAAAGTTTATTTACAAGATTTTTGGTTTAAATTTAAAAGGAAATATTGATGAAATATTTACTCTATTACAAATAAAATCATGAGTAGGCGGCAACCAGTTTTCATTGGGCGGCGGTTAGACATATGGCAGGATTCCGTCCCCACTACGGCGACGCATCAGGCCCTGCCACGGAACAAAGCCAAGCCCATGCGCACTATTTGGCCGCCGACTCATGATCTTATTTGGAATAAGGTAAAGGATATATACATGTATGTACCTCCAAAGAATATTATTTTATTTTTCAATTAAATATTTCATGAATTGTCAATAAAAAAGTATTTATTCATTATTATTTAATTATTACAATAATTAAAAATCATCCAGCTATACACAAATTTTAAAAATAGGTGTATAGATTGTTCTAATCCATACAATGATAAAAGCATTTTTAAATCGGATTATCAGTGATAACACAATATTTAAATAATTAGCTGACCATGTGCACTTAGTTGCTCGTAAGAAAATGCCAACTCATGTCTGAGTCTAAGTCATTTAAGCCTGATGGCCTAATTATAAACGAGGATTAACATAGTGCAAATAACTTAAACTAAAACCTTTATTTACATACCGGAAGATGTTTGAGAATGAAGAGGTTGACCTGAAACTCCAGTAACACTGCCGGCGCCTTGCGGCATTTGGGGTCGACTGCCACCTTGCATCCAACTTGTTTCGGCTATTAAATGAATATGAGTTTATAATATGTAAAAAGTAAAATATTATTTATATTCTATTTTACTTTGAGGACGAAGAGAAGGTCTCTGTTCTGTGTTGGCCTGTATAGGTATATTTGTGTTTATTACATTTTTGTGTTCTCCACTTGAAGTAAGACTTGGAAATTCTTGTTGGAATTGCATTGTACGATGTGCTAAATATGGGGGAGCAACTGGAACATCCACAATTTTTTTGGCCCATGTTTTGCCGTCGGCATGAGAAGGCTAATAATAGTAATAGAATTATTAAATTAATTTAGTTCCATAAAATTAAGAACGATATTAACATACTCTTGTTGTTGTGGTGGTGGTCGTCACTTGCACGGAAGTAGGATGGGACGAAGCATGTTGTTGTCCCTGTACAGGCCCACTTTGGGACAGTTGAGATGTCGTCGTGGCAATAGATGTTGGCGGAACCTCTTTGCCCGCAGCCTAAAATGTTAATAAATATAAAGATATACTTGTTCAAATATTTTACTTTTGGAGAATTTGAAAACTTACCACAAGTGATTTTTCTATGACTGGTTTGTTCCATCCTCCACCACCGATAGGGACTAGATTGATTGTAGACTCATGGCTAGATTCGGACTTCTCACTTGGTAAATTAACAGGGTTACGAACACTACGGATAACCTTTCCAATAGATTGCAATCCATTTTTACGTGGTGCTATGCTTTTATGTTGATTACTTTCTGTAGACTCACCCTAAAATTAAAATACAGGTTATTTTCTGATTGCATACAGCTAATATAATTATTATTATTAGGTATTACTATAAAAGTAATTCACAACATAAAAAAATATTATAAAAATATTCCTCTTACTTTATACAAACAATTTATTTTCAATGATTGAAATGAATTCTTTCCTTTGCTTTTCTCCCCCTTCAAACTGACCCCTGGCAATGTAGACATACTGTCTGCAAGGCACCATTTAGATTATAAACTTGCCCGTAGAACGTACCTTTGATCTGCAAAACCAGAACAATTTTTGTTATTGATATATCATTAAATACATGGTAATGTAACAGAAATCTTTTAAAATATAGGTGCACTATACATATTAGCCTAGATACATATATATCAGTGAACTTAACTAAAAGTGTAAAAATCCATTTTAAAATTTCCAAAGTATACTGTTCCAAATTAAAAACTAATTCAATTAGTAGTAGATATATCAGACTATTGTCTATGTACTCTTTAATATTGATTATAATTGTATTATAAAATTAAAAGCTACCTACATAATAATTGTACACAAGTGTTAAAAACGCAGATTTTTAAGAAATGTTAATTTTGTGCATATGCTATTAGGTTAAAATGTTATAAACTTTGCTAAACTGAGACTCAGATTAAAAATACTTAATATAATTGACACATTGTATTAAGGAATACAATTTAATTTAGAGTTAAGACAAATATTAATATCTAACCTACCTACCTACAGTATTACAATTATTTAGCAACTATTTAGATAGGAAACATATTAAAAACAAGCAATTCCTATACCTAATACAATATATCTTTTAAAGGTAATAATTATTTATTTTTGTTACTACAAATAATATATAAAATTAAAGTTTAAAAAAAATTTTATTTCTTATTAATAAATAATAAATAATATTATGATTACCATAATATTATCCACGGTAGTCCATGATAACTTTAAAAAAAAGTTTAAATAAATTGTAGCTTATGGTTCTATATCAAAGAATTTGTAATACAGTTAATAAAATTCATAAGAGCTCAAAAGCAGCGCCGTGAATGAGTTTCTAAAAGTTACAAATACAGTTAGTGATAGTGAGAACAAGATTTTAAAATCAATATAATTAAATAACTTTTCAAAGGACACATTTGAATTATAATTATTAGTCTCTTAGTGTGTTCTATTTTATTGATAGATTTAAACTACACATGAATGATACTTCTTTGGATTTAAATTGTATTACAAAGCTAACCTCGCCACATGATTTGTTCACATACAATTATCAATTTTAATTAATTTCATCTTATAATCATGAGTTGTAAAGCATACTAACATAAAGGTTCTAAACTTGAATAGCAAAAAAAAACCAGAGTTATTAATAATACATTTAGTAATTGTAGATAAAACATGATGTTTTATAAATAATAATGATATGTATTTACAATAGTCTTTATAAGAATAACAATAAATGTACCAACAAGAACAACATTAATTGTTCATATTCTAGACTAAATAGTAAATAAATAAAATAATGACCCTAGACAATGTCATTAACATTTTTCTTGAGTCCTTGACCTTATAATTTTTTATTATGTATTTTAAATTAAAGAGATATATTCTAAATTGAAACATTAAAAATACGAATCAGGATAAAATACCTTAACCTAGGTTATTGCAATACTGTAATTATAAATGTTGAAGTAAAAGTAAGATTTATGAACCAGACTTGATACAATTTGTTCAATATATTTTATTTGTTGAGTGTAGTTTTTCCTTCCGCTACCAAAAACAATTTATTTATTTTTAAAAATAATCTCTTGAAAGTAGTAATAACACAATTTCCAATTTATAACTTAAGCCAAATTATAAATTTACATTGTCAGAAAAAATCTCGAAAACCAATTTATTTGTCACTTAATTCAGACCTACCTAATATTAATTTAAATAGCCTAGTTAGAAAACATAAAAGAAACAACACATAATTATATTATATCCTTAATAAATTAGAAATTGCTTAAATAAAATTACCCAACTTTTGTAATAGTTTAATATATGGTTACAAGACGTATAAATTGTAAGACCAATTTATGTATTTACAGCGTTGTATGAGGTATAACTTATGTACTACCTATCTATACAAATCGTTTAATCAAAATTAATGATAAATTAGAATAGAGAGCAAGGATTTACAATACAAAAAGAACACAAAAATAACTCTGATCAAAACGAACAAACTGTAAAATCATTCGCAGAGGTGAATAAAAAAAAACCAACGTTTGATAGACGTTGGCTAGGGTAAACAGTATTATCATGGGAGAATAGTGAAACGTTGATAGGTATCAGCCTATGGTGATCACATCAACTCTGTATTTGTAACACAAGACGATTTCGCGTGTACTGATTAATGATTATACGCAATTAAAGCCATGAAAATCTACAGTTCTCTATATTAGAAAATGCGAGAAGCGACGATTAGCAACATTGTGCTCATCCCGTAGCACGACGGTTTCCTGACTACCGAAACGACACTAAAAAATACCTACAGCATGATATTTGGACGACTCGACTCCATGGGACAAAACTAATAGGGATAGACTATTTGATGTCCTGCCATACCGATATTTGCTGGGCTAGGTTTAGTGCGCGCAAAAAGAGTCGTCTCCGGGACCATTGTCTAGAGTCGTAGTCGTACCTATCGACACGCACGTCGTAATCTCTAAGGATTCAGCCGAGTCCTAGGTACGCAAGAAAGGATGTTTGGTGGGTCTAGTGGATGGAGGCCCTTCCGAGGACGGTCCCGACGGCGGCCGCCGCCTGCGAGACTCGCGGCTCTCGGAAGGCCAAACAATGACGTTTTGGGCCGGTGACGCGGGGCCCGGCCATTCCTAAGTTGTCGTACCTAACGTTTCGCGGCGGCAGCGAAGACGACGACGACGGCAGCAACGACGGTGTGGTCCGCCATTGCTGCTGTGGCTGCCGACGCCGCCGCCGTTACCGTGACCGAAGGCGAACTCGCGCGCCGACGACAACGACGGTGATGGTGTACTCACATAGGTCCGTCCAAATGGGTGCACGCGTGACAATTGAATGATATCACCCGAAAAGAGTGATCGGTGCGCGTCTGACTGTTGCGAACTCGGAAAAACTAACCCGACGCGAAAACCTCAATAGGAACGATCGTCGATTTATTATCAAACATAACGTTGAAAACACAAAATGGCGTCGTCTTTGGTATTGAAACCTTCATTCAACACATTTTTGCGTTGTGCCGCTCGCCCGCCACGCCTACAATCTCGGCCAGTCAGCCACGCGCAGTGCTGGCGCGCCCGGGGATTTCGGTCGGGAATTCTCGCACCGCCACCGCCGCCGCCGCAAGGTATTATTATTATTGTTGTTATTATTTTTGTTCCCCGACCGGACCGTCCGTGGTAGTCGGTACGCGTGTTTGTCTCGGTTTATACTTTTCACAACAATAATCGACGGTCGTTGCCTACCCGTCGAAAAGTTGGTTTTCTGTGTTTCAGACGTAATGCGTAAATACAGAGTCTTAATGGTCCGTGCACGCGTCTCTTCCTCTCCACCCCGCCGACCCCGCCCAAACCACCTTGCCGCCGTCTTTGTCTGGAATACATTGTCCGTCCGCCGTAGACGGTCGTTGTATGGTCTGCAGCGCTTGTGCGCAGACATTTTCAAATGTTATAAAATATAATGTTTCCTCGGACCGTGCAAACGGTTTTTCCGTGATTTTACACGCTCGGCCGTTCGTTTCCGGTTCGGCTCGGATAAAAGCTGCCGGAAACTGCCGCGATGCGAATGGGTTGTGTAGGCGTGTGGCGGTGGGGTGGGGGAGGAATTATTAACGCCGAAAACGGAAGAAATAAACCCGAGAACGTGATTGTGGCGGCGGAAAATCGAACGCGGGTGGTTGAGACCCGTGCGCGCTGCGGCGGCCGACGAGGGGTGGTGAAAATGACGTTGACCCGCGGCCGACGTCGACGGCCTCCGCTGCGCCCGCACCACCCTCTGCACCCGTCCATCCGCCGCGGTCGCGCCGCTCTCCAAGTCTCCAACCATAAAACTGGTGCTGTTTGCTCCCCAAACGCCGCCGCCGGGTGAACGACCTCCGAGAGCGTCGTACAAACGCACCGTACCTGTACGATACACTCACGCGTCTACGCACACGCACACGTAATAATATCGTATACAGGGTGATTCTTTTAAAACTATACGCACATTCTCGTGTGTAATTTTCTCGGCAACGATATTCTGTTTGGAAGATGAAATGAAAAACGTACGGTACCGCTCAAAGACGTGAAAAACTTGAAAAAAAAATTATAAAACGAATAGATTAAATACCCAGCGAGGGTACACCTCTCGCGGGCCCTCAGTAGTGCGCGTGCTGTTTGTACGATAATATTATTATTATTAAACAATAAACATATTTTAAAACCTGCTACCCACAGACAAGTAATGCGTCCATCTATATGCGAAATGCTTTATATAAAGGTCGTAATATGCGTGTAGCTTGTGTGGTTCAAAACTCACCATCGCGAGTTTCACATACCGATACACCCAGCGTATTGTGACGTGCAACGTATGCGTTGCTTCCGAGCCCGCAGATTGGGCATGGTTAGCCACAGTAACTAAAATAAGGGTGGCCAAGCAGTGTGAGATTTTGGACGGGAGGCTGAGTTGCTATTATAATCAATTATTTAGTAAATTAGATAAGTAGCAATAGTTCAAATTATCAATAAAAAAAAAATAATGTATTGTCCAGTACATTTATTTTTGGGCTATTACAATAAATTCCACCCCTGGTGCCAAGCCTCCCAAAAACTACTGGAAGCAGCTAAAAAAATATGAATATAATATAATATAGGTACCTATTTATATAAGTATATACCTTAACATTATTTTTTTTTATATACAATTCTTTTGGGTGGCTTGAGGCTCCCATAAAAATGTTTCCTGTTTGTGTCACTGCGTTGGCATCCCAATATGTTTACAGTTTTAGATCGTTTATACTTTATGTACTACCGTGCGATAAGATATATTTTGAAATATTTTACGCGCCCAAACTTACTTGAAAATATTTTAGTTACAGTCGTCAGTCATAGACTCGATTTGGGAGGGGACCGATTGAAAGTGCCAATATAGCGACCACAAAGCGTCCTCGCACGCACGGCTGTACCACAGTAACATTAAAGTT